GGGACGAGGGCAGGGCTGTGGGGAGCGGGAGGGTCTGCCCAGGCCGGGGAGCCCGGAGCTGAACCGGGCCGCCTGGCTACGCCTCTGAGGGCTCTTTGCGTCCTCTTCTCAGCAGGGACGCGGCGATGCTCCCCACAGAACCATCACAGCCGGGCGCAGCATCCTTCCTCGCTCCGGTAGTGACCTCTCTGTGTTTGACGCCGAGTTGGAGAAAACTGGAAGAGCTCCGTTCTGCCGCAGCAGGTTCCTAAAGGTGCGCAACGAGAACATACATGGAAGCCAGTGGTGCCAGACATCGGGAAGTGCTGTGCAGACAGTGGGCAGACACATAGCGAAGAGCACTCTGGGTAGTGCTTCCCACACACGGTCGAGCTCAGCTCTGAGGAAAGTGGCACAACTAGAAAGCAAAATCATGAATCGAAAAAAGCAGATGGAATTGCAGAACGCTGGCTTGGACCAGAAGCTGTTGGATGAAGAGTCCATCTCATCTGCTTCCAGTCATGAACCCAGTGCAAGGGGCAAGAAATATCTGAAGAATTATGCTGCCACCAGTGGAAATACAGCCCTCAGTAATGCCTGTTCTAAGGAAGAGGCGAGCGTCCAAAGCCCTAAAAAGAATGTTGTGGTTATACAACAGCTTGGTTTGGATAGCGAGGGTGAGGAAATGAGAGAATTGATGGGGAGCTCCTCAGAGTTTTCCAGTGGAAGTGAGAACCGGAGGGTTGTTGCAAGTGATTCCAAATGGGGTAGAAAGGTAAATACATGCTTCACTGAATTATGTATTTTTATTTACACTTTTATGAAATTGTTTTATATGGTAGGTCACTTATTATTTAGGTAACATCAGATGCTAAATTTTAATTTTGCATTTGTGGCTTGCTCATGATATGATTTAACTTCAATTCACATTTTAAAATTACTGGGTTTTACCCATTATAATTTGTTTTCCTTTTTAGTGACCTACACGTAATAAATGAAGTAACACATAAATCTCTTTTTCATGTTCTTCAAAAGAATAAAGCTGCAGTTTCATCAGGAATG